TTATTAATGAACGATTATTTTATATCCAAAAATAGCTCTTTTTTACTAAACAAGTTACGTCGAGCTGAGCTTAACCAAGCTGAAATCAAGCTAAGTCTTGGCTCGTTTCTTAAATGAGCCAAGTCGAACCGGCTCATTATTAAACGAGCACAAACTCGAACATAAGCTACTCGACTAGGGCTCGAATAACATCCCTTCTAACACCATATTCAAATGCTGCTATTAGGCAAACTAAATCATAGCTTTCTAACCAAAATGTGCCCATCCTTATGTAATGAAATATTTAACAGAACCAACTAATCCATCACAATCAACCAGAAGAAGAATCTAACCTAATAAATAGCACACAAAGGAGCAAAATTCCAATCATTAATTTTTTTAAGTTCCAAAACAAATAAAAAACTATTTGTCCCAAGATGAGGCTGAGTCGAGCCAAAATACAAAAAGACAAGCTAGAAAATTTCCAAATTCTAACATAATCATACATAAATAATTAAAACTAAACAAACTACACAATATTCAAGTCTACTTGCGAAGCTGTCCTGAAAACATCGAAAACATTCTGCAACTTCTAATACTATGATTCGAACCTTCCATCAAACTGAGAAAATCGGCTGGCTGATGTACCTAAAAGATATACAAAATTGGATAAAAATTAGACGAGGGACTGATATTATTACCACCCTGCAAGGTTACGTGTCGAGCTGACCATGAAATGAGGTGAAGAAAACATGTATTTAAGCAAGAAAATAAAAAACCCAGCAAGCATAGATAGCCAAGCTTCGGGAGTAAAACTACAATTCAGTTCATGGGATGAAACTTCAGGAGATTTTTAAAAAACTTAATTGAAATCAGCGCCTTTTGACAGCCATCCAAAGAGAAGCTTAAATTGATAAAATAAACATGATTGTCTCTCAAACTCAGAAATTCTTTCATAACTAATTAACCATCCCCTTGAACGTTTTCGTTCGTTTTACAAATACTCTCAAAACAAGGTTAATTAGTTGCATGAACAAATGTCATTAAGTAATGTCATCTAAATAGATAATTGGCTTTTATTGATTATCTGGTGCTCAGCAATATGAAGGCACCTTCAAATTGAATAAAGTGTCAAATATTAGTGTCTGTTTCATGACCAAATTGACACTGGATTGAAGTGAACAAATTCAACACACTTAAGTGAACTAAAGATATATTTATGATTCTTTATCAAGTTGATGTGTGAAAATGATAAAGGTTTGAAACGGAAATGCCAAGGAGCCATCGGATGGTTCCGTTATGGAGCCATCGGACCCACGTGGCATCACATGGGACAATGAAAGTGTAAATGTGGGCCATATTNAAACAAGTTCCAGAGTTAGAATTACTTAACACAGTAATTTAGAATGTTAATCAGACGTTAAAAGATAGAATTACTTTATCATCATAACATCGACTCGCAAACATGTGCAGAAAGGATACCACCAAAGAGTTAAAGAACCAATTATCAACAAATTCAATATATATAATGTGTTTTAGTATTAAGATTCACAAAATGAGTCAAAATTAGTTAGGCACGTTTGTTATGGTCCAACTGCCTTTATTTAAACAAAAATGTATACTTTTGCTGCAAAATGCCATACATTGATTTGCAGTGTTTGTAAAAAGTATGACATTTCACTGAGTTAAGTACATAAATTTAAACAAAAATATCCTAATATTTTCCAGATTGACAATCGACCTACTCTTACTGTTTGTAAGAAATACAAAACCCAAGGGAACAACACTTACACTGACCATTAGAGTAAATAAATTAAAAAAAAAAAAGAAGAAGAATAAAAGAAAGAATAACAACTGATGCAAAAGTGAAGCCAATCGAATAAGTAATAACAAGTATAAACCCTTAAGAAACAGAAAGTTTGACTAATATCAGAACATTTTGCCTCCGATAAAGTCAAAGCCTACTACAGATACATACAATTTTAAAGGCGTGAAAGTTTTCTTTATAACAGAAACCATCAGCTCACTCAATAGCAATCAACCAAAGCAGTCAAACTCAAATGTCTACCTCACTTCATGAATTCAGTTATTCCTGCAATTAGACACTAAAAAAATATGCTTCTTATTTTTTCCTTCGAGTTCGAAATTTCAGAATGTCAAAGTAGCTTAAGTGCCCTTATATCTCTAAACTCATAAAAAACCCTCACGCATTTAGGCACATGCAAAAAAACTAAAACAGAATATTAATAATAATAATAATAATAACAAAAAAAAAAAGAAAAAAGAAAAACCATAAGCAGATAAATATCTAACCTTTATCCCAAAATCCATCAATAAAAGTAACCCTTGCACTTTGTGGTCCCACACAAACACTTCTTCTTCCCTTTTTCCCCATTCCCATTCGCAACTTTCCCATAATCATACGTCAACTCCCGCATAGGCGGAATATGACGTGCAGCAAAAAAAGCCACGTGCAAACAAACTTCATTATCACCCTCACGCAAAACCGGCTGCCAAAACACATTCGGCAAGCAGCTATGGTTCATAAAACGAGCCACATTCCCATTATTCTTAGCACTAATAACAAGGGGAAATGAAGTCTTCTTCGAACCAGAAGAGTCATAAACAGGCTCCAAAGGCACATACTCACGAGTCGCATCAAATACATAACTGTCATCATCATTATTTTCATTTCCCAAAACGCCCCCCACAATTACATCCCCTGCATACTCGCAGATAAAACCTCCCGCTCGAATTGGGTCCCACGACCTCAGCCCCCATCCTCGGTTTTTCGTCTTGAACACCTCCAAACGGACCTTAACCCCTGTCTGTGAAGTTCGATTACGGCAGTTCGAAGGGCACGCGCACGTGGGCCCACACTCATATATCGGCGATTTGATCGTTAAAAGAACCCCGATAGACGAATAAGGAATGAGACCACCGTCATTTCTCTGGGTGCACGGGCAGTTCGAGTCGCCAGGCTGGCACCCACCTACGCAGTGACAACCGAACGAGGGCTTAGTTACAGAGAAAGGCCGAGTGTATCTCAAAGTCGAGACGTACGTGAAATGCGCGGGCCCCTTTTCACTATCCACGTCGTTTACAAGTGAAACGGGAAAGCTCTCTGCTCCCGAGGTCAAATCGGGCAAAATAATTCCCGGTCGAGAGATAATCCCATCTTTCCACTGCTGAATCGATTTCCACAGCGAAAACCCTTCGGGCTGCCCGGGCACCCGGATGAGCTTATACTTAAAAACGTTACATCCCAACTTATTTTTCTCGGCCCACGACTCTTGTATTCTGTAAACGCCATCGTACACGTAAATCTTCCCGGTGGTGCAAATGTCCTTTATGCCCCTCACGACACGAACGTCGTTCGCGCGGTGCAAACTCTTCTCCAAAGCGAGGTTCCCCCTCTCGAGCTTCTGGTCAAACATTTGACCGTCCCTCCTCTGGACCCCACCCTGACCGCTGTAAATTAAGACGTCACAATCGTCCATGTCGTCATCGTAACCGCCGGACGAGACTATGCTGACGGCCAGAGGCTCCTCGTCAGCAGTGACCCGAATGCTCATGTAATCTATTCCGGCCATGCTGGGAGCATGTAAACCGACAATGCAAAGCTCCATTCGGAAAAAGAACATGTCACCAATTTCGAAACCAGGCAAGTGGCCGATCCGTTTGGAGTTGTTCGTTCGGATCCCTTTGCTCATCATGAGATTTGCGGCTTTCAGATCGGGCCGCCTGGCGATCCCCGGGCCCCGGGTCTTGGATTCCTCAAGCTGAGTCAGCTTTTTACGGAGAAAATCGTAGGCCGAGAGTATCGAGGCCACGGTTTCACTGTCACCGGCTGACCTTCGAAAATCGTTGAATTCGTTCAGCTTGAATAAGGTCAAGAAATGGTTGACCATGGACTCAATGTCAAACTCCTCACCGTTTTCGACCCGTATCTTTTTGGGCCGACCCGGGGCCCGCCGTTTGCCAGTGTTGCTGCTCGTGTACTGGTCGCTCGGGTTCTGTGAGTCGCTAAATTCATCGTCCTCCGAAGGGGAAGGGCCCGATTGGCGGGTCCGGGAGGACCGTTTGGGCTGGCCCAACCCGTTTGACTGAGGGATGGGAGTTCTAAATGAGTTGAGAGGGACTGGGGCAGGGATGCTGCCAGGGGAGAATCCGAAATTGGGCTGCGGAAGATTGTGCTGGGGGCCCGAATTGGAGTGGTGTGGCCCGTTTGGGGAAAGGAAGGGGTAAAACGGCTGGACACCGGTGGGAAATGGGCCCGTGGGCTGAGCAGCAGTGTTTGGGGACAGGCCAGGTGAATTGGGGAAAATGGGGACTAGGGTTTTTAGAGGCTTCACTTCTAAGATTGTAGATTTGTCGATTGAAACTGGAGTGGCATTTGAATCAGAACCTAGACCTCTCTCCATTTGAACACTTCTAAATTGAAGTTCTGTGAACTTAAGAATGATAGCGAAATTGGACCAGAAAATCTTCAGCAGAACAGTACAAAGAGGATTCTGACTGTGAAATAGCTGCTGAATGGAAGTGCGGTGTTAATTATACACATGAACCATGGTGCAAAGAGATTTCTTTACCAAATTCCATGCGGCATGAACCAGTTTCCTGCAACATGCAAAATATTAACTGCATATTAGACCGGAAAAGAGAGAGAGAGAGAGAGAGAGAGAGAAATTCAAGTAAAAATCAAATCTTTACAGAAATGAACAGCAAATCCCTAAATTTCAACTGAACCCTCCAAAATATATACAGAGATTATATAGAAAACGAGTTTAACAGCACAAAAAAAGGCACACATGCGGTACTGAAAATCAAGAAACTTTTTGGACAAATATAATTTGAAAAGATCATTTTGGCTTTACCATATCTGCAGATAGAAGAAAAAAAACCTAATTCAACAAGCTAAATTAAATAAAAAAAAAATGGAAAAGAAACGATTTGCCTTGTTTTTCCATCAAACCTGATCAGAATTAGTCACGAAAAAAATAGATCTTAGAACTGATAAATTACCTGTAAACCCAAGATCTTCTCAGGGCCGCTTTTTATTTTTATTTTTAATTTTATGTTCTTTATGTTTTCATTTTTCCGAAGTGAGATATAAAGCGTTGTTTTGTGTGTGCTTTCGTACTCTGCACTTCCTTTTTAGCTTTTTCTCCGTTTTAATTTGTTAAAATTGTTGTTTGGTAGCATAAAATTACTTATTATTTGTTTAGTACCCCAAATTTCTTTTTAATTAATGTTTATACCCAAGTCTTTGGTACATTTTGTTACTTGAGCAACGAGTAATCTAATATTTTTTAAAAAATATTATCATAAAGAATAATTTTCAAATACGGTACATTTTTATCATTGACTAAAATGCTTAATTATATAAAATTGACTACAAGTTTCCAAAAGTATGATGCATGTAAAAAGATCAACATGATTTTCAAATATTCATAATTTATATTGATGATTGAGAGGTAATATAATCAACCAATTTTGCTATGAAGCCATCGGATGATTCGACTTATGGAGTCATCCACACTTATTCACTATTAGTGTATTGACACGTGTCCTACAATAAATACAATTTGGACATGTGTCAATATATTAAATGATGTATGGCTCCATAAGAAAACCATTCGATACTCCATATAATTTTTGTATTATCAACACACATATTTTTTAAAGTGTAATTTTCATGAAAATCCAAATGTGAATATCAAATGAAATTATGGTACCAAAATTAATAAAGTTGAAATTTGAGGTACCAAAACATGAAAAAAAAAATTGAGTATTAAATTTCAATTTGCCTTTTTTTTTTATCTTTCTTGTTTATTATTATTTTTCTTTTGTCTACTTGTTAATTTTTATGGTCCTTGGTGTGTATCATTTCAAATTTGTGTTTGAAATGTTGGTAACTTTTCTTAAGAACAACAAAGGTAATTTTCTTCTTTTAATTATTTGTCAATGGATTACATAAAGAGACAAATTTGGAAATAGAAGTTATTTTCTTAATTTAAATATCCGACACAGATAAAAGATGCAAATTAATATGGAACAGTTACAATAATATGGTCTGATTATTATGGCATTAATTTGGATTGATGATTTATTGTTCATGGTCATCAGTACATCTGATACCAGTTAATTGAAATCCTTTCAAATTAATATAATTTTACTTTAATTTTATTTCATTTTAGTCTATTCAGTGTTTTCATTTTTTGATCAATGGGTACTGAGAACAAGCAAATGGGTCCATTTAACCGTTGGATCACCCGGCCGATCAGTATGATTTCCCTGTAAGAATTTTTCAAATTTTTCCAGTGACACGTAATAACTTGGTGATTTTGTTTGTGGAAGGTTTACACAAACGCAAATTCTATGTTCTCGATGGCTCACAACTTCGACCGGACCTCACGAGACTGGCCGAAGGTCTTTTTCGAGTTTTTTTTAAAAGCACTTGCTGAGGCCAGTTTTCTTATCGGGCTAGAGAGAAACAGGTATTTTTTATAACCACCATGAAAAATTACAAAAGCTTTTTCTTGCTATAAATTTCATATAAGAACTTTCTCTTAATTATTTTGCAGTGATGTTGTTGAAATGGCAAGTAATGCTCCTTTGTTTGTAAACAATAACGATAGAAGGTATGTTTTATTGTTTCTATATATCCCTTAAACCCGATTTTTTGTTTTTATTCGATGTTTATAAATAGTGAATTTGATGGTGTTATCTGTATATTGTTGACATTTTTCTTCTGATTTGTATTGCAATTTGCAGGTTGCCCCTGTTGTAAACCCACTTTTAAATGCCAGAACCAAAATGGGCATTATATTGTCTCCACATTCTTTAACTTCAATCGACTTACTGAGAAAATCAAATGTAATGCAGCCTGCAGAGTTTTATGATGTCCATGCATCAATGTAATTTGTATTCATTCAGTATAATTAAATCTATGGTCTTATATTCAATCTCTAGGATTAGTTAACTAGTTATCCATCAAAACCAACATTTGCTTCCATTTTGTATTATCCTCCTTGGGTTTACTTGAGGTGCATTAGAAGTTGAAACATATACATTTATACACAAAATTCATGTGTGAGGCAGCCTAACAATTAGGCGGATGGTCTCATCATACTTTTTTTTAACAAATATACATAATTATGCTATGTTATTAGTGATAAATGAGCCAAGCTTGAGCTTGATTTCAGGCTCGTTTAATATTACAAGAACCTAAGAGAACATTAATTTCAAGTCGGTGACGATTTTAGTCATGGATACCGATCAAAATTAAAAGGACATGAACAAACAACTTGCATTTGTTGCATTCTTGCTTTTTTTTTTTTTTNCCCACTGTAATGTATGTATATCGTCCAGTCCCATTGAATAATAAGACTAAAATAAAAAAGAACCTCACAAGTCACAAAAAAGAATAATGAACGAGATAGCACAACACAAGCCGGCTTTTTCGAAACATTACTTCACCACCAGCCACCAGATACCATAGTTAAACAATCTCGGTAAAAACCTGAACAAAAAACAAAAAATGAACTTCACCTGAATCTGAAATGATTGGAAAACACATGATTTGTATAGCTATTCATCGATTTTCAAGATTTGAAATAGCAGCACTCACATCTTGTAGGAACTGTATTTTTCACTGATCCATCTGCACAGTCACATTTTAGTCGAAACCTACAGAAGATTTGTGGGGGGAAAAAAAGAAAGAAAAAAATAAGAAATAATTAAAAGTATCATTATATCTACAGCTGGAAAAATAGTAACTTGAGAAGGCTAGAATAAGAGCAACACCTCAACTATGGTACAACATTTGAACGGAATATTATGTGCAGCAAAATCCAGTGTTCCAACACTGCATTAAATTATGGAATAAGGTAATGTGAGTTCACCACCAAAAAAAATCTGAAATCATTTCACATTGAAATTAAGGGACAGTTACGACGAAAAAGATCCAACAAGGGTTAGCATCTTCCGGCTGAGATTCGTGACCACTGCAATTGTAAAAGAAATGAATGACAATGGCATATCTTTAACTTTGAAGGATAACCAGTTTTTTTCGTTCTTTTCTTTTCTTTTGTTGGTAAATAATCTAAACCTTGAAGGGGTAGGTTGTAAATAAACTAATACGCAACTTCTGTAACATAAGAAGGACTAAATCATCATTCTTATAATAAAAGAAACACGAAAGAGCAGAGAACAAAAATAGAAAATATAGAACATGAGGCAGATATCTGACCACAGAAAGCAATGGTCCTTGTTTGAACTTGTCGTGGAATGAAAATGCTAATGGCTTCGGATTGTCCCCAGGCCCTCGGATAAATCCACTAAATCGGCAAACATAATCATCAAAGCAGGCTCAAAGTATAAATATAAAACAGCCAAAGAGTCAACAAGCTGATGAATGGAATTTAAATAAGAGCTAGAAATTAACGCGCTTACATCAATGAAGTTGAAATTAAGGGAGTTCTCTTAACATCAAATATGGCTATGAGACCTTTGTACAATTCATCTCCATCTCTATAGGATACTGCAAGTATCTCCGCTGAAGCATCCCATGCTATCTTCTCAATAACTTGGCTGCATAGTATTAAAATTAAATTGCCCCCTAAGCCCCTTCGAATAGGAGTTCCCAGCCCTGAAATAAAAAATACAAGGTTGAATATCAAGATAAGAGTGGACAGTAATAATAATTCGTTAAAAAATTAGTTGATAAGTCAAGATCTTAAAAGCAAAAGCAAAGATCGCGTCATTCTTACACTATGCAAGACTTGCTACAACAACAACAACAACAACATACCCAGTATATTCCCAACAGGTTGGGGTCTGGGGGGTCAGTTGTACGCAGACTTTACCCTTGTAATTATACAAGGAGGACGCTGTTTCCGTAGTGACCTAAGGTGCATTGCGCCGTTTGATATATTTTTTTTTTCTAGAAACTTCACTAATAGAAGAAGCACTAGAATTTAATTGAGCCATTTTGATCTGGTCCATTATTAGCACTATGCCAGGAGAATTGTCAACAATGACTCTTCCAGCTCCATTTGCAATAGACAAAATATGCAAGACTTGCTAATGCAACAAAAATCTTGAGATAAAGATAAAACAATCACTTGTGCCTCCAATGTGGAGAGGGGTCATAAAGACAGTTATAGCATAGTATCAACTATCTAGCTAAATTAGTGCCATCTTGTCAACATATGCTGCACCACTAAGCTATCTTCAATGGCAGAGCTTCAACAACCTTCTGTACTGCTAGCCCACCACTTAATATTCTTTTCCCAGGAATTGTTAATAAAATTCCACTTTTGCAGATTCTTGATGTCATGAGGAACACTACAGACAAATTCCTAGATCTATTGAAACAACACAGTACATAAATACTAATGAAAAGAAATATTAACAGGATAAGGACATATACCTTGTGAAACATCCCAAATGGTGAAAGATGAACTCTGAAAAGAAGCTGATACTAAATATGTAAAGCTGGTCAAGGAACATTTCAGAATTCTAATAAATGTCAACAGAAGAGAAGTATCCAAGTATGTCAGTCGCATTTGATTGGATTTCAGACAATGATTATAGTTCCAAAATAATTAAAGTTCTAAAAAGTATAATTGTAACATAAAAAAAAAAAAAAAAAAAAAAAAAAAAAAAAAAAAAAAAAAAAAAAATAGTTGGTTTGGATATCTTCCATCAGGACTCCATGATAATGCACTAATAAGTTCAGAATCAGAACTTTGAAGGAAATCCACCAGAATCCATCGACGCATGGTGCCTCTTGAAAGTGTGTTTGAATGCACCCCTGATCTCACAGATGGAACATTCCCGGGATTAGAAGCAACCCAGATACAAATGCCACCACTGTCATCAATCATTACAAAATCACCAAAAAAAAAGGGTATTAATTACATCAGAATGCTCAACCGTTAAACAAATAAAGAAATTGCTTCAGTCATAATGACGAGAGACTAGTTTCACAACACTGACTTGCAAGCCACAGAAAGAGTTTTCCCTCCATTTGGTCTCCACTCGAGAATCTTTACATCTTTTTGTGACTCATGGGATAAGACGCAAGTAGTTTTTCCATCTGGTTAAGTACAAAGAAGAAACAGGAAACGGCTCATACCATAACTAAACAAAGGAAGAATAAGCATAAACATCTTAGGAAACGAACCATGTGCTAACTCTCTCTATGAATCATTGTGTGCAGGTAGCTCTTTCTAACAGAAACACATAAGTTCCAAGGTATGCAAGAACACGCAATCAATCCCAGACAATCAACATTGCACTTGCTTTCAGAAGAGTTAGAACATCAATTAGACTTAGTGGTGTCAAATGCAAGATGCAAAATATGCCTAATGCAAATACCCTATATGTTTACACGCAATGCAATAGATAATTATTATTATAATATACAATCTAATACAATATAATGTAAATTCACAAGAGAGTGCACATCCCTAAGAATTTCCTCAGAGAAATGAATCGTTGGAAATCAAGTGCTTTAGTGAATATATCAGCTAACTGGTTTTGTGTTGGAACATGCTCAAGAACAATAACATCATTCTTCTACTCTCCCCGAATAGGAGAGGAGTTAAATGCGCTCTTCCCATGGATTTTCTCTTACAACTGGAAGAGGCATGATGACCATGCATGGAATGACAATCCAAATGGTGATGGATTTTCTCTTACAACTGGAAGAGGCATGATGACCATGCATGGAATGACAATCCAAATGGTGATGGATCATATTTACTCTGGGTACCGATGACTAATGATATTCAACGTTTCGTTCTTCACGGAGTTCGCGACTCCAAGCGACAAAAGCCGAAGCCGCCACGTCCAGACCGGACAACAGTCATCGCGTTTAAGAAAAGAATGGAAGGGTATGAGGCGAAAGGCCTCATTTCCCTCAACTACATGAAGTACATCTGGCCCAACCTTGGAAGGCTGTAAGATTTCTTCTTTATTTTCTTTTTATCATTTTTCTAGTTTTTGTTATTTTGCCTAATTTTTTTGTATAATTTTTTTATTTTAAATTAGGAGATTTAGCCGTGATTGTGACTTTAAGTTCTGGCTCACTCAATTCAATGATCATGCCTCAGATTGTGGGCTTGATGAAGAACATTACTTCTCCCTAAGAGTCAAAGTCTATAACTTGAAGTCGCAAAAAATCCCAATTAAGTAATTATTATTATTATGGGCACAATACCATATCAAAATAGATAATTAACATTTTCCCAAGTTATTTTACAAATATTGACTCATTATATGTACTTTGAGTACACAAAGGAATGACGGATACAATTATATGTGAGAGTAAATGAATATTAATCTATAACCCAACAACCAGCCAAATCAATAAAATTTTGGCATGTACATGTATGGTAACTCCATAAGTAAAAGTGCCAGCTTGCATAACAAACTCACATTTCTCTCTTTTTTTTTTGTTTTTTTAACAGCATTTGGAATGCCTATCTTTACGTGGATAACACATTACAGTCTGAAGAACCAGATATGGTGTTCCTATATCTTCAAAAGCCACGCGGTTCTAACCAAGTGTTAGTGCGGGAGGTGGCCGTAAGGACAAACAGAGACGGGACAATCTTTCGTCAGGTGCCCTCATTTATAGGGTACTTTAGCCATTGGTTTGGCTTACCATGAGATATGTGGGTGCATGTGGGTATCACACACATACCCCATGGTAAGCCAAACAAGCGGCTAAAGTACCATATAAATGAGGGCACCTGACGAAAGATTGTCTCGTCTCTGTTTGTCCTTACGGCCACCTCTCGCACCAATTAGAACCGTGGCTTGTGAAGAGAGAGGAACACCATATCTGACACTTGGTTCTCGAGACTTAACGTGTTATCCACGTAGAGATAGGCATTGCAAATGTTGTTAACAAAAAAAGAAAGAGAAATGTGAGTTTGTTATGAAAGTTGGACACTTTTACTTATTGAGTTACCATACATGTACATGCCAAAATTTTGTTGATTTTGTTGTCTGGTGTTGTTGGCCTATAGATCAATATTCATTTACTCTCACATATAATTGTATCCTTCATTCCTTATAATGAGTTAATATTTGTAAAAGAACTTGGCGAACATGTTAATTATATGATACTTGTGATATGGTATTGAGCCCATAATATAATAGTAATAATAATAATTACATAACTGAGATTTTTTGCGACTATCAAGTCATAGACTTTGACTACTAGGGGAAGTAATGTTCTTAATCAAGCCCACAATCTGAGGCGTAATCATTGAATTAAGTGAGCCAGAACTAAAAGTCACAATCACGACTAAATCTCCTAATTTAAAAAAAAAAATACAAAAAAATTAAGCAAAATAACAAAAACTAGAAAAACGATAAAAAGAAAATAAAGAAGGAATCTTACCGCCTTCTAAGGTTGGTCCAGATGTATTTCATGTAGTTGAAGGAAATGAAGTCTTTCGCCTCATACCCTTCCATTCTTTTCTTAAACGGGATGACTACTGTTCGGTCTGGACGTGGCGGTTCCAGCCTTTGTCGCTTAAAGTCGCGAACTCCGTGAAGAACGAAACGTTGAATATCATTAGTAACTGGGATACCAGAGTAAATAACGCATGTGAATAACGCATCATGCATGGTCATCATGCCTCTTCCAATTGTAAAAGGAAATCCATGTGAATAACGCATCTAACTCCTCCCCTATTGGAGGAGAGTGGTAGGAGGTTGTGGTGCTCCCTGTAGAAAGATTAGAATATTAAT